TCGAATGTGAAATGCCCTCTGTTGCAATCACAGACTTGGCGTTTTTGAGAAAAGCCTCCATGACGAAGCCCTGTTGTTCACCTGACCATGGCATGTTGACTACTGACAGCTTTCTTGTTCATGCCACCTAGCGGGACAACATCATTTTTAAAACTTAAAAAAAAACCTTTAATTCACTTCGTAAATGTGGGACTCCATTATGCCCCACCCTGTATTTACCAAGGCAGGACGATTTTGGAGGTTTAACTCCTTCTATTTGGCAAATCAGACAGAGTGATCTATGCTTGTATAAAGGAATTTTCACCTCAATGGACTCGATGATTTTACAACGCCAATCTTGAACCTGCAGTCGAATATGTAATGGAAGCAGACTCTGTAAGAGTAAGAGAACATCCTGTTCAGTAAAGTTACTGAGTGACAAAACTCGTGACACCGTTTTCTACAACAAATGAATTTATATTCGGTTTTTTTTAAAAAAAATTTTAGTGAATAGTTCTATTTTTTGATTTTATAAGTTTTTGGTCAGACAGAGAAAACATTACTAACTTAATAAAACAGTATACTGTCATAACTTATATTTATTTTGAACCTATTTAGTTCCTCCTTATTGTAATGTATTGTGTTACTTTACATATCTATATTAAGTGTTGTAGATACAATGTATCTACAACACTTAAAAATAACAAGTAAACACTATACACTTGGGAGTTGAAATGTGTGAAAAATCAATCAGGTGAAATTAGTTAATAGTATCACCAATTTCGATTTATGGATGTCCTCAAACTTTTTATTCATCATCATGTGAATAAACTTCTAATTTCATCAGTAGATATAATGAATATGATATGAAAATTATTCTAATCATGTATATCATATTTGTCATATATTGTATAAGCCTATGAGTTAGATATATTGAGCTCATTATTAAGTTATGTAGAATTCAAAAAATTTAAATTGCAGTTTCATTCAAACAACATTTAATATTTTTTAAGTTTTTTTGTGAATCCCCTACTAAATTTTTGGCAGCACTATTGGGAAAGTCACAAGTTAAAGTTAAATGATAAATTTGTAAAACAATACAATTTTATAATAGGACTAAACTAAAAACTAGCAATATGCTGGATTTATCAATTATTCTGACAATCACTTGAAAGATATTTTTAGACAATTAAAAGGAATTTGATAACAAGCTTCTTTTGAGTAATTCTCGGTCTCAAGTGATTGTCAGAGTCAGAAGGACATTGTAAGTTTGCTTAATTGTCTAAAAACCCATTTTAAGTTGTTGTCAGAATAATACAATTTTATTTTATTAGTTATTATTATTATTTTTGCTTGCCAACAATTGCCTGCCTAATTTCATAGCAAGGATTCCACAGACAGAATTTTCCACAATTCTTTAAACATTTTCCTGAAAACATCCCAAAATAATCAATTTCGGCATCTTGACAAAAATTGTCAGGACAATGGAAAGGGAAGTATGTTAATAGTTCTATGACTTATGATTTTTATTATTATTTTAGTGTCTTTGAGGTAATGGCTCAAAAACAGTGAAACTGAAACAAAAAACACTATAGACAAGAGTGCCACCTTTTGCTCAAAGGAAAGTATATAATACAAAACAATAATGTTGACAGCTTATAGAATTTGTTCAAACAAAATTAACAAGGTCAAAATACAAATTGGTTCCATACAATACAGGATACTTCCATCCAATCTGGTCACTTTAATTAAATCCCCAAATTGATGCAAAGGGAATTATGAATTCTGAAAGAATACACATATACAGTAGTTTGAACAAAATAATTTTTTTTCTTTAATTTTTGTTTATATTGCTAGTGATAACAGTTTTCTTTCTGTACATATATTTATTTTCTATCTTTATTCTCTTTTTACACAAATAATTCTACCATAAATAAAATACTTTTCTACAATCCAAAACTATAAAAAATAGTTTATTCAAATAAAAATATAAACACTAATAGATTTCATCATTAGCTTCTTTAATAAACTTGATAAATAAAACCAACAATAAATATTTTAATACAGTCTCTACTACAATACTGTTATAATTTAGTAATAGATATACCCAAATGCCAAAAATCCAGCAAAAAATATATATATTTAAACAAAACAAATGTTTTCTTTCGTTTTTAATTAAACAGTCATCTTCAGGTTAGAAGAAATGCAGATAGAAATGGATGTATATTCTAAAATAGAACATCACTACAAATTAAAAATTGAAATCATTGCGAAATGTGCACATGCACAGTGCAGCATTAACATCATGTTTTGATGAACATTATGATAAGGTTTATGGTGATTAATTATAAAGAGATCAACTCTATTTTGACTGTGTGGTGAGCATTATATGACTTTGCATAAGTCTTAAGTACTAGTACATATATGTTTTATTTATTATGTATTGTAAAATTTTTTTAATCTTAATTTGTTATGTTTATCGAAACACAATGTTAATATCACTGTGCATGCATTTCATGATGATTTCAAATTTTAAATCTGTAGTGATGTTCTATTTTTAGAATACACATTCATTTCTATCTGCATTTCTTCTAACCTGAAGATGATTGAAGAAAATGTTTGTTTTGTTAAATATAAACATTATTTGCTATATTTTTGGTGTTCAATTTTGGTGTTCGTTTTAAATATTTTAAAATTATTTCAATATAAACCTATATTTTTTATTTTTCAGTTTTCATTGAAATTATTGCTTATTTGGAATATAAACAATAAAGCCATGAATTCAAACAATTTATTGATAGTTTGATATTAACACAAAATATTTTATTGTTACTTAATAGTTCAAGTAATTTTCTATTATTTTGATAGCATTCACATTTTATTGCTAAATTAGAGTATAACAATAAAAGATGGTGCAACTTGGAATATTCTGCCTAAAAAAAAATCACTAACTATTTATATTTATCAACTAGCTGCAAGGACCTGCTTTGCTGGGTTTTTATTTGTTCGTACATTTGTATGTAATATAGTTTTTTATATATATAAAAAAGACTGTTTTTCTAAGTAATCTAGAATCTAGCTGCAAGGACCCGCTTCGCTGGGTTTTTAAAAAGTAACGATAGTGAAGATTAAGATAATTAAATTATAGCTAGTCTTACCCGTTTTCATAGAATGCAAGAATTAGGTTCCCCGTTTCCAGACTAATTAGAGACCTGGTCCCGATTCTATTTCTGAATGTCTCCTGTTCACGTTCGGTCAAACAAACTATTTTCAACGTTTCTGGAACGTTTATGATCGTTCTATAATCGAACCAATATTCAAATTTTATGTTCAAATTTAATTCGAACAAATTTGAACATTGTTCGAATTAAATTCGAACAAAACATTCGAAATAGAAAGCCACTTTCAATCACTTTCAAGCCCATATCTCCCGCACCCTTATAGCTATCGAGACGCAACCACCCCTATGCACGAATGAGACTTGGGGCTACTACCACATACAAACACCATTCACGTGTGATGTGCAGTTTTTGCAAAAAAGTGAAATATAGGGACATACATGTCCATTTATATATATATATATATAGGCTTTTTATAGTACTTACAGTAAACCAAAAACATTTATTGTTTAAATTTAGTGACCAGAAACAATAAACTTAATGTAAAACCATTTATCATATACAGTATTCTTTTTCTAAAAAAAACTGCTGCCAGTATGCATATATGGTAATTTAACATAAAGAACTGTTTTTACTAAGAAATTGTAAGTCATATGTACTGGCTATCAATACTTTTTAAGGCTATCTCCAGTATAGTGTACTGGTGCATTCCAACTGAAAAATAGAGCTGTACATACACATACATTAATATTGTTTTTCTAAAATAAAATTTCTTTAATTAAATATGATAGTGATTATATTACTTTAAATAATTTTGTTGTAATATAATATAATATTTCACAAATTTCTTTAGTATATATAATACATTTCTAAAAAAATTCACATTTAATATGCCATTAAATAATATTTTGGTGTGATAAAACTACTGTATATCAAATTAGAGAACTAATTGTTTTTTCCTATTATTTGCTTTCAGATCAGTATACTATCCAAAACATTAATTTAATTTATTGTAATTTTCTGTTGTTCAGTTAATAGTAAAAATATATTGAATGACATCATCATAATATTGGGCTGCAATTTTTAATCATATTTTAATTTAAGAAAACCATGTGACTTTTGGTCAGATCAAAACTTCATAAATAGTTAATTGAGGCTTTCAGCCCCTAAGCTTTCCATATCTTGATATCTCAATTTTCATCTAGCTAACTCTGTTCTCAAGATTATGGAAGGATAGACAGAAAGACAGATGACAGTGGGATCTATAAATCTGCAATTTGAAAATTGCAGCCCAATATATATTAAAAAATGCAGAATCAGAAAAGAAATGCATTTCTTTAATGAATGCATTGAAGTATGGCTGTAAATGTAGAACTAAAATAGTAGTTATGTTTAACATAAAATATTTAATGATATATAAACAATAAATAACTGATAATATTAAAAGAATGGTGAATTTTCTTACTAAATATCATAAAGGATTACAATAAATATAAAGTTTATTTATAAAATTAATTTAAAAAGAATTAATTTAATACCATATTAAATAAAACCAAAGATTGTGATATTATTTTGTTTTTCAAATGTTTTACTCTGAAATAAAAGTTAAGAATATATAAGTAAAATAAGTTAATTTATCAATTTTTAGAATAATTTTGATCTTATTTATATTACTTTGTAATAATTATTTTGAATAATTTTTATATAGAAAATATCATAAATTAACAATATTCATCTTTTCAATGTTCAAAACATATTGTAGCTTTTAATAATAAGTGAATTACATTCTAATCTATTACAAATAAAGAAAAAAGGTATGAAAATTTCTGTGTATATATTTTATAGATATAAAATTTAAAATTATTTGAAAGACCAAATACTATATGAATAATACATTCTTACCATTTACTAATGAAGTAAAACTTAAAATTGAAATTATACAAAGCATCATTAAATGTAAGAGTTGGAACTTTTTCATAGTTACAAACGTTTGTAAAATAAATTATAAACTATTTAATAAAGAGAGGAACAGGAAACTTACAACTTCCTGATTTTGGTTTGTCTTCTCAATTAACAGGAAAAAACTATACTATCTCTAAATTTCAGAACTGTAGTTTGTCCAAGTTTAACCTTAATTTTATTTCCTGAAAATGACATCCTTGTAACAATTACATTTTTGTAAATTTATTTAAAAGAAAAAAATTATGAGAAATTGTAGAATTTCCAATTTTGTTCATGTTACTTCAAAATAATTTTGACAAGTATTACAATGTCAAATTTCTAGTATTTTTACATATTCTGAACCTTTGATAAATGTTAATCTTACATTATACAAATATAATTACACAATGTAATATATAAGCAGCAATTTTATCCCATTATTTTTGTGCTTATGTATCTCATTGATGATTACTAATAAGTCCTAATAGATTTCAGAAACATTGCCAAAAAGATTATTATAGAATATTATCATTTTTTCAATGTAGAATTATGAAAACAACAAAAAAATTTTTAAAGTATTATATTACAAGTGATTCATCTAGAAAAATACTTCTTTTTTAATTTAGTTTTGTATTTAATGTAATGAAGGAATATTAAAATTAAACATTAAATACAGCAGCCTATATATACATATTTAATAATGCATGAGATATCAATTAATACTACACAATATATACACTGACTGATCAAAACTATTAATAGAATGTTGGTACACCAGCATAACAACCTTGCATACACTGAGTCATTGACCTACCCATCAGGGGTTGTAATGGAAAATTGCAGGGTTCACTGCAAAATTTTTTGAAGGACTCACCTTTCACTTGTTGCAGATCCAGGAGCAAATCTCAAGATTATCTTTAACATATTCAGACACATAAATACAGCCTGAAATAATTGTAATGGGATCCATTTACATATATTTATAGATATAATTTTGTTTTACTTTTCTTTATTTCTAACTAGCTGATTTAGATCAAGTATTTTAATAACATAATTATTTTAATTTACTATTTCCAAAATGAAAATAACTAAATGTGAAATTAAATTTGTTGTGTTTTTGGCAGCAAATTGCTCTGTACATGGTGATGTCACAAATTCCTTTGCTAAAATAATTATTGGAAAGAAATTTGTGGCATTCATGAATTTAAAATTTGTTTTTGTATATTTTCATCAGTAATATTGACTAGGTACATACAATGCACAATTGGAAGATAATGAAAAGGTACTTACTGCTGTAACATAACTTCATTTTTTAAATGATGGGCTGTAGGTGTACTCATTCTTTCAAATTTTCTATAATTTCTTCTAAATTATTTTGTTCATATTCATTTGGCTCTAGTATATTGTCAAAATCAAGTTTTTAAGCTGCTGTTAATTTTAAAATCTGTCTATTTTGATTATTTTTTTATTTTTATTGTCAATATTTTTTCCTGCAATTTTCTTTTTTAAAAACCACATAAGCATTTTTGCTTAGAACTCATTTTAAATTCTATGACATAAAATAAATAAAAAATACAAAGTTTTCTGGCATCAGAACATAACAATATTCTTTTAAACTAATATTACCATTATTTGTTCTTCTAGTATACAATCTGTTCTTTAACTTTTCAACTTAAATGTTCTACTCTTTCTAAAACAGAGAAAATAAATAAAATAACAAACACCTAATCTTATGTTTCTCTCAGTAGGATGGTAAGAAAATTAATACAAAATGAATGTTTTTGGTCTACTTCTAAGACCTGAAGCAGGTCTTAGAAGTAGACCTAAAGCTTTCTTTTTGTGTTAATTTTCTCTCCATCCTGCTGGGAGAAACATAAGATTAGTGTATAAGCTTCATATCTCTACAAACTGGTTAATTGAGATAATTATTAAAATAAGGTTAGTGTATTTGTTATTTTAACTTTTCAGTAACTTTCTCTTCATTCCAGTGATAGTTTCTTTCAGTTTATAGAATTAAAAAAAAGTTCAAAATTCTCCAAATTTAAATTCTCATGCACACTTGCTTCATGATCACTTTACTCAGGGCTGTGTTAGACTATTTTAGTATATATGTTAGAATTTGTGTATTAAATGTCAAAGTTTTGTGAAGAAGTTTTTTTTATTTGTTCTACTCTGATAGAAATTGTATATATGGTTGTCATTTTACTTTACTGGATTGTGATTCCACTGTTTCTACTGTGATCTTTGCACTTAACTGTGATGTTCCAATCATGTGTTGGAAAGAAAGATAACAGTTAGAGGTCAGTCCTTTGTGTGTTGTGAATTGCTGTCATTATTGTATTAATTTCCTTGTTCTTATACCTGCATGTAATTAACATAATTAAATGCAATAAATGTACTTGACACAAGTTTCTAACATATTTGAATGCAACAAACTATATTCATCACCAACAACATAAATCAGTGGTTCTCAAATTTTTTTGATTTGTGATGTACTATAAAAAATGAGTTTTCTGCCTCACTTTATATACAAAATTAGAAATAGCTGTTTACTATAATAATTACCCTTCAGGCCTAGCCTAGCTATTAGTTGATCATGGATGTAATGAATAGCACTAAAAAAAACCAAAAATCCAACTCATAAATCAAAAAATGAAATAAAAATCAATATTTTCAATGAGCAACCATCTTGAGGTTAAAAGAACAGATTTGGAAATAAAATGAGAAATATAATGCTATAATTTAAAATATGAATAGAACATCATCTGATTGGCATTCAGCAGTGATGTGGTTTCACTGAGTTGTAACAATAATATTAAATTTCAAATAATGTTCTCCAAGCTGGGGATAATGTGTTATTGTCCTTGTAGTTAATTGCTGTGTTGTTTCTACTAGCCTTGTATATAAGTCATGCATTGATGATGTTCACTTGCATGTCCTCATCCAAGGCATATAAGGCTAATGCCATTGTATTTTGCCTTTCATTAATTGTATTGAGATGTTCTTGTAAATGTTGTTTTAATAGATGCATTCTAGCCCAATGTACTATATATGCTGGCCATCTGAAGGGGTATGGAGTATACAGGTTCAGGTTCAGGTTCTTTATTGCCGTACAAAGGTACAAGCCCGGTACCGCATAAGCACAACCGGTTTGAAAACGCATACAACAGTAAAGTTACAGGAATAGAGTACATAACATAGCATAACATGATATTCGATAAAAATCAATTATATACATGGTATGAAATAAAAGATTGGACTGTAGATACAGAGCACTATATACATAACATGATATACAAAGCAGTTTAATTGCATACTAGAGATTGCGTAACAAATAAGAATGACTTTATATACAGGACATTGAATTGGAACACAATATACAAGACAAGTACATGTCAACGGTCAAATACATAGTGGAATTGCATAGCAATATGAATAAGTTATAAGTGGTGGTATTTATGTTGCTAGGAGGTGCTAGTTGAAACGTTGAGAGCTGCAAGTTTACAGTATTTGTTGACTAGCTGATTGAAGTAAACGTAAGTGGAATGTTCGTTGATCAACTCGTTGCAACTACAGGGCCAGTCCTTTCCCCGAGAGTTGATTATAATCTTTAAATGTTGCCGCTCAGCATCGAGCATTGGGCAGTTGAAAATATAATGAAGTGCTCCATCCTGAGTGCCACAGAGGGAGCATGTATTGTTCGAGTAGTTGGTAAATCTGTTAAGATAGCAGTGGAAATTACCATGGTTGGTAAAAAATTGCGATGTGGAATGGTTGAGTTTCAACCATTTATAGTTATAAATGTCTGAGATATGCGGGAAGAAGTTATTGGTAATTGATTGACGGTTGTTGTTCCAGTCATTCTGCCAGTTTTCGAGGAGATTGTTCCAAAGGATGTGCTTTAAGGTGGAATTGTTCATATTATTATAACTAGTGGTGAGAGTGAGGTCAGTTGCGGCCTCCTTTGCTAGTTCGTCTGCCCGCTCGTTACCAGGATTACCCTGATGTGCACGAGTCCAGTTCAAGAAATATTCATTGGTGGAATGACGTATACACTCAGAAGGTAAGTACCAATACATCTTATTGTGAGAATCCTTGGAGTTTCTAAAAAGAGCATAGATGGTGGGGTTCCTACTTCAGGCCATGGAAAGGTTATTGCCTCCTGTTACTTCATGGTATGTAGTGTTATGATCTTGTTATACTACTCAATCTTGAATTTGTGATCTGTTGTTCCCATTTTTTGGTCTTGCTCCACATATTTGTTTATTAAAGTTTTGATTAATCAAGGTGGATAACGATGCTGAATAATGTAACACAATTCCTGAGTTCTTGCTTTGTTAGTAGAAGAGTGTGTGAATGCTCTTTTTGTCAAGGCTCTAAATGCTGTTACCTTGTATTGGAAGGAATCATATGAAGAGGCTGTAAATCAATGTTTGATTTACAATACCAAATTATTAGTAGGTTGTCAATATATCTTGAATACAGGATGATGTCATACTTGTAGGATGGAAGGACCTGATTTTCCAGTTGTCGGATGATTAACTTACAAAGTGTGCCTGAAAGAAGACTTCCCACTCTTCTGTGACTCCTAAAAGAAGGCACTCTTCTGCACTGCTGGTAAGCCATCTCCTCAAATTAAAATGGCAAGATAAGTTTGTCAACTCTAATATATCTGCATGAAAGTTGCCTTTGTTGCTATGCAATTGAGAAGAAAGTTAGTATACAGAGAAGGTTGGTTCTATTTTGATTGATGGATACATCAATTTGAAATCACACACTGTGATATATGTATACTGTAGTCACTAATGTGAAGTTTGTGTAGATGATCCAAGAGTTGTATAGAATTCTTAATGCCCCAGTGATAGTTATCTAAATTATTTGTGATGTACTAAATAAGAATTTATTATTATTATTATTTTTAGAAATGGTCATCATCATGACAGAACAGACAAGCATAAGAACTTCATTATTGGAGGAAAATAATTGCTTTCAAAGTTTTTTATTATGTTCACAAAATCCTATATGTGCATTCTGAAATTAATTGAATGTTCTTTGTGTCTCTTTTTAATTTTTTAAAATAACTTATTTTTGAACATAAAGCATTTTTTTTTGTTCTTTAAAATGTCAAGTAGAACAATTAAACTTTCATATAGGACAGGAATGAGCAACCTTTTTCTATGGAAGAGCCTCATTTCAAAACTTTTGAACTGACACGGGCCACATACAAGAGAAAAGAGGAAAAAATGCCAGTAAATCACAATTATTTATTCATGTATAATTATAAATTAGCATAAGTATACTTAATTTAGCTTCTGGAACTGATTTAAATGTAATATATTGAAAATATTTGATTAAATATTAGTCACTGCTAGTTTTAAATTAGTTTCGATTTGAGTTTGTTAGCCAGTTTCTTGTTTTAATTTTTATTAAATTCATGCAGGAAAAACTATTCACATACATAAGTTGTAGAAAATAACGTTTGAATTTTTGCTGCATGCTTTCTTAAGCTGGAAAATTGATATATTTATTCATATTTTATGTGATGTGGGCCACAAAAAAATATTGATGCAGGTTGCCCATCCCTATAGGACATGAGATATCTATCATAATTGTTGGACTGTGCTATTGTAGGCCTAATAAATCTACAATGGATCTGGAAAAACAATCCTCTTAATGCCTAAAGAACAGAAAGAGTAAACAAAAAATTCCAGTTTGATGACAATATTAATGTCTTAAAGCAGCGATTCCCAACCTGTGGTACGCGTACCCCTAGGGGTACGTGATAGGTTGTTTAGGGGTACAGAAAAAAGTTAGTTATTATGGCAGAAAAAATAATATATTATGTATCACAAACTAATAGTATTAAAAAATTATTAGATAAAATATGTTCCTTGCAACAATCACAACTTTATTATACATTTTTTCATTTACTTTTAATTTAAAGTTACAATATGTAAAATTAACAATATGGGTACTCACTAAATTTCTTAAATGAGGGGTACAATCTAGAGATATGCCATGTCACGGGGTACGCTAATGAAAAAAGGTTGGGAACCACTGTCTTAAAGCATTGTGGCTAAGTTAAAGTCAAAAAAGGATAGGGAATCTTCTCATAAGACTCATTAGGTCTTTTAGTGTGTCTCAAGTCTTTAAATGCTGTGAGCTATCAGAATATGCTGGCTAATCACCTACACCTTTTCATATCCTTCATGCATCCTAAACGAAATGGTGCATTTCAGCAGAACAATACACTATCCCACTGGGCACTATCACTCAGTTTTGACTCAGAAAAATACTCATTTGAATTCCAAACCATCCAGTGGTCTGCAAGGTCATCAGATTTAAGTCCAATTGAATGTGCAACACCTTGATGATGATAATATAATGTTGAGCAATACCCCAGATCCATAAAACTGATACTGATGTCTACACAGGTGTTATAGGTAATGTAGGTTTCATTTTACTATAAAGTTCCATTTTTGGCCATGGTGAGAAGTGCTATAATTGCCATTGGATTCTGTTGAACTTATCAAAGCAGAATTGCTTATAAGCATTGATTGTAGCAGTTGCATACAATTTTTTTAATAGATATAGAATGATGTAGAACTATTGAAATGTACAAAGAAAGATACTTCAAACATAATGAATGGAATATATATATATATATGTTTTTATGACATTATACTCAATTATTGATAACATTTACCTAAATTATGTAGAGTTACATTAAATTACTGTTAACTGTCATCTAAATTTATCTGAAATAAACCATAATTTTATTATTAATATACTTAATTTTCAATAAATATCAACATCCTGAAACCCAATGTATTGATACTAAGCCAAACAACTGTCGTAATTAATTGGGCTATTATTATGCTATAATTAATAACACTTAATAAAACATTTAACACCCTCTATCGCTGAGAATTTATAATGATCAAACATTCCATTTAATACAATTTTGAAATACATTCAAATGCCAGTTAACCTGAGGATGGCCTATTCCATTAGGTTGAAAACGTTTGTGTTTAAATAAAGTATTCTCAGCAATAGATAGTGTTAAATGTTTATTAAGTGTTTTTAAAAGAAGCTGAGTTTGATATTTAATTAGCTATAATTAATAATTAGAAACTAAGTAATTTTGGTACTAGAAGTAGATGTTAGGCACCATCTCTTATCTAAATTAATAATTTATTAAATAATTTAGAACATTCTGGAAGAAAAGAACTAGCCCAGAGCAGGACTTGAACCTGCAACCTCCGCTTACCAAATGGTGCACTTGCCAGTTACAACATCTAGACCCCGAGTATGTCTTTGCTTCTAGACGTATTTAAATTTAGATATAACCATTTGCAGTTCTTGAGATGTGAGTTTTTGTCATTGATGTGAGAATGTCATTTATGGCTGAGTGCCATAGTAAATGAGCACATAGGCCCGAGCATAGGAGTCACCCCAGCTGGTGCTGTAAGTACCTAGGAATGGTTATATCTAAATTTAAATATGTCTGGAAGTGAAGTCTTGCTCAGAGTCTAGATAGTCTAACTGGCAAATGAACTGCATGGTAAGTGGAGGTTGTGGGTTCAAGTCCTACTCCAGGCTAGTTCTTTTCTTCCAGAATATTCTAAATTATTTAATAAATCATTAATTTAGATAAGAGATGGCACCTACATCTACCTCTAGAACCAAATTACCTGGTTTCTAATCATTAATTATAGCATAATAATATCCTGATTAATTATGACAATCATTTGGCTTAATTTTCTTTTATTAATCTTTTTGGTTGTCAATTTGTCCTGCATTGAGCATCTCAACATGTGGCAACCCTAATGGTAAGGGACAGGGTCCAATATATCTGGTCAGACTATTCCCAAAAAATTTCTGAGGATTTTTGACTGCCTTGATTCAATCCTAGTCTCCAGAATGGTAAGCTGATGCCTTATCTGCCTAGACTCACCTGTTATATCCAGTAGATTTAATCATTGTCAAAAATGAGTATTGACTCTTTCTTTAAGCCACTGTATCTCAGAGTAAGGTGTATGTTTAAAGTAAAAAAACACATTTATTTGTTTGTTTGTTTATTTTTTTTAAACATTTCCAAATAAGATAAAACCTAGTGAAATAACAAAAGAAATGAGATCAGGGTCATCAAGAGGGAAAGAGGTGGAGATTTATTCCTGGGCCTGGAGAAAACTTAGGGCTTATAGTAATTCCTACCACAATAAATTAATGCTATTTTCACTAACAAAAACTAAAATCTTTATGAGTGCTTTTTATTAAAAGAAATATTCAATTAGACTTAAAATAAAGAAACATTACTTATTTCATTTGTTCAAAAAAGAAAAAAACGGCAAAAGGGGCCCAAAATGCAAGTACTCTATAGTCTATACCAGTGGTCTCCAACCTACAGCTCTTAAAGCATATTTATTCCAGGCAACATGCAAGTAAAGAAAATAGCAGAGTTTTCCATCTGGGATGCATGAAAAACTGTAATAGCTACAAAATATAACTTTAAATTAGTAATCTATAAAAACTGTTCATTAACTTTAATGTGTTTTTACATGAACTTTATGCATCCAATTCTGTTTTTACACATATTTTTTAATTTTTTACTTTACATAAATTTTATTTAATGTGGTTCGGAAAAAATTTCAATTTACTTTTTACAAGATTTGTTTTGATCCAACGTGTTTCAATAAATTTCTCTTTTTCAAAAACTTCATTTGATTTTAATTCTAAGAAAAAATATTAATGTTCCATTTTCTAGAAAACTGTAAATTAAATTTTAAGATCTGTCTGGTTTTTTTACAACTTTCTTAAACATGTATAGTGACAATCAATCTTTCATTCTGACTTTATTCTACAATTGAAGAAGCAGTCAAATAAAATTTAATTCAAACTTTGATGATTTGTTTGTGTAATTCTTTGCATTTCTTCCACTTTCTTTCAATACAACAATATGAAATAACTTTTGTATGGCATTTGATATTAGAAGCTAGAGATATTTTGGTGCTTAATTGAAAAAGTCAAATAAAAATAGAAATTTGTGCAAATAATATAAATTTATTAAATTTTGTTGATAAATTACAATTGTCCCTCCTCTGATTTCACTAAACATTATCACTCTATTCACAGTATCATATCACTCTACAAAGAAAAAGTAATACAAGATGCTTGTAATGAATTGTACCATTATGTGCTCTTAATCTGTATGAACATTTTCAAAAATAAAATTTTAATTTAACCTGTGTAACAAATATGAATCTATGAGCTCTAGTGCAATCTCATAGCAAAATTTGTATTGTTCCTGTAAATAAAATTAAAAATCAGTAAAGTTATTTTTATTAAAATAATAAATTCTAACAAGTAAGATTATAGTATTAATTTTATACCAGAGAAGTAATGAATTCAGGTCGATTAGCTCTTAACTTTTTTACAGTATTAAAAACATCAAGTGCATGTTCTGTTTTCAACTGATCACAGATATAACTAGTAATGCAAAATAGACCACATCTTTCAGCCCCATTCCTAAAAATATATATATCTATTAGAATGTTTACAAGGTATCAAAAGACAACCCAGACACTTACAGGCAGTGAACGGTGATTGGGCCACCAGTTGTTCCACGATACCAGCGGTCAACTTGGTTTAGTAATGCCAGCATAGAGACAGAATTTGGAAGAATCTGATCTTCTGGCCATTCCTTAAATTGCAGCTGAACAATTCGACGAGGAGATTCTCTGGACTGATTAATATAAAATTATGTTGAAATCTTGCTCATCTAAGTAATTTAATTTTACAATATTAACTCACATTCATAGTATTGATAAGTTTAATGGTTCGCACAATAACAGTGCCGTGATCTTCAAAAGTCACGACTTGAACTTCGTAAAAATGATATCTTGCTAAACCTTCAGTTGGCCAGTATTGTCCAATGGACTAAATTTGAAATAAATGAGATGAAAAGAATTTCTATTTAATTTTCTTTTAAGGCAGAGAATCTTACCGGATCGTCTGTTCTTTTACCATCATTTAACATCACAATGAGAGGTGAATTATAATCGTATATCATCTTCCAGAAATCTATAATAGTGTGAGGAAGAGGCATTTGTGTTACAAGAAATGCATCCTTATGCTTATAACCCTAAGATAAAACACAAAATTTATGTAAATATAAAGGAACCAAAATCTTTGATCATTTTAATATGCAAAAAATCAACACATTCACTTTCACTTAAAATTCCTGAAAATATTTATTTTAAAACAAAATTTTGGCTTTTCATTAGAAAAGCCAAAAAAATAATCTATCAAAAAATAATTAAACACCTGCAAATCCATCAACACTTTACAAGCCATTTTTAGGTTTATAATTTCAATTCATTAAAATTCCAGTTTCTATATTCTTTTATCTTTTTGAAACATCTTCACATGCCTCTGTATGTTACAATTTGATTATTTTTCATTACAGAAATTTTCAAGTTGAAAATTATAAAGAAATATTCCTTCTTTAAATTATAAATTTATATTTACATTCTAACAATAAATAAATAAAAACTCACATCTACAGTAATTGCATTAATGTAATTATTTCCATCTTCAGTTGAATTGAATGATTTTAGTTTTACACTGTTCTGGTTTTCTAATAATGAAAAAAATTATAAAATTCAAAAAATATAAATCATTAGTATAAATGAGAAATTACCTGGAACAATCATTAGATCTCTATTTTTAAAAATATTTAATTCTGACAATGCTTCAGAACAATCATTAACTTCAATTCTCTTCTTAATTTTTGATAAAACCTAATAAAAAAAATTATATGTAAATAAATTTTAAAATGAAATTAACAAATAATAAAAATAAAAATTAAATTAATTTTCAATAAAAATATAACTTTTTAATAATTTTTTTTGTATATTTAAACTTATAACCTTTCACTCAACTCTTCAAAACTCTAGAAATTACAAAAAATTTCTATTTTTTTATATTTTTAAGAACCAGACAACAAGTCAAATTGATCTCTTGTCATGGTATATATCAAAAAAACTTAGGCTGAGACTTCATTGGCATAAAAAAGCCTTGCCATAATTATCTTAGTCATGTGAGAATGATCAAATGTAGATGAGCATGTGACCCTGATAATGATTTGACCCTGGAATTCTCAGGAGTTTTTTGGGATGGTTTCTTCAGGATCTATCAGGCCCCATCCCTCACCACCCAGCTGTCTCATTGTTAGTCTTGCCAAACCTACGATGGATTTGATAAAAAGGCCTGTTTAGCACTCACAGAGTGAAAGACATTTTACTTTATTATTATTATACATTTGGCATCATAAATGTGAAATCCGGAATTTTGGTGACGGAAATATCGCTCATTTATTAACAAAATTGTTTTTAATAAAATAAAAGACAAAACTGTCCAAAAAGGATCACCATTTATTACTTGTGTTCCAAGACTAAAACATTTTCGGCGACTGACCTTCCTTTTTAGGCTACTTGTCGCCGTAAAGTTCACAAAAAGTCCTTTTAAAAACACAAAACATCCAATTAAAATTTTATAAAATTTCTGAAAAAGGAACTGGTGACATGCAGTTGTCTTGCTTCCATCATACCTTCTTTTGGGGTTT